TTAAAAAAAAAATTTCATAAACTATATGTGTACCAAATTTCATCCATATCCGTTCAGCCGTTTTTGCAAGCTTTAGTAACAAACATACCATCATTGCTCAACATATCAGGAATCAAGAAATAGGAATAGAAGGATGTATCGAATGCGGCCGTATATCAGTAACCTACTAGATATTTATGAATTGTGCAATGTCGAATAAAAATAAATCCTCATGTCTGAAATCCTGCCAAGCATCAGCGACTCTATTGGTATTCTCTGTGTCTATATTTTTCATCGGCGTAAAAAGCATAAAATAAAATCGCCATTGTGGACGAAAATCTTGAGTGGATTATATAAGACGGTAGCCTAATTCCCTTTGTTCCCGAAGCTTTATCAAAGAGGTCAAAATTGAAAATCCTTTATCCGACGTTGGGTCGATGCTTGTACACTAGATTGAATATTTTTCAGTAGGCATAGCGAGTACGCTATGCATTTCTGCGCAAGTTTTTTTTAGTTATATTATAACTAGAAAAAAAATCCTTTCTTGTACTAAATAAAACAGTTTTGATGAAATCAGGGCTGGGCGCTTGTATTCTCTTTGTCCATATTTTATAGGTTACTGCTGGTGTGGTTATCCTACTTCCGAACAGCAACGTAGGTGTGGTGTGTACGTATATTATTATGTTGTTTTGAACAGTTTTAAGCATCAGAATGAGTTGTTTCTATTTTTTTTTGCAAATTAGGTATCAGACTCATTGTAGAATGAAATGGTTTACAATTTGTAAAACCTTACTACACTACAAAGTTTGGACGTTTGGAGATCACTTTCTGAAATGACTGCCTCTGCATGCAACCACTTCTAGTTTTGGCCACTTCTGCTTAAGACTACCTCGTATAGTGTGCAAAACAATAAAAAAGTCAGTCAGTTTTCAATACGACGACGCTGTATGAAATAAAACAGGGAGAAAAATCCAGTTCTTGCTGAGCTTCTTGCCGGTTGTTCTCAGCACAAGGTCTCCCGCCGTAGATTTGCGAACCGATGGCGTAGCTTTCACGAGTGCTTGTAAAAGCTTAAAGTGAATAAATGAATGTTGAATTGAATACTTTGTAAGTTGTGACTTAAACAAACAAATGATTTTTTCTTTCGTGGTTTGTTGCGATGTCTAGCTCGGAAACGAACTATTTTATAAGTCAGTGATATTAAGTATCTTCAATAACAGGATTTGTTAATTGTACAAAACTTTAATAGAGCGTGGCCAGACACGCGCTTGGCCACTTTCTATGTTTTGGTGCCGATTACTTGCTTTTCTCGATTCCACAGTGCTTCCAAACGAGGAAATTTCGAGTTTTCGTGAACGTCTGAATTTTATTTGAGTTCCCAACATTGTCTTTGAATGGTCGATCGTTGTTATAAAATTATGCTAATCTGAAACATTGAATACGAGAGTGCTTTCTTCTCTGCGATTTCCTGGCAAATGTTTTGGTTCAATTTCCTTGAATATTATATTAAAGATATATTTTCTTAGAATATTGCTTACATAGGTACTGCTATTAGCGTTGTATCAATGTATGGTATTTGCTGTGGTGGAGTGGTATGTAGGAGATAGCCCCAACCCCGTGAAGCCCTGTAACATTACTCATTGGCTGAAATTGAACACCACCAATATAGCTGTGATTCGTTGTAAGGTGGAGGTTACTTTTTCAGAGGGGCGCTACAATTTGAGCGGAAAATCCGTTATGGCCTGTCTCTATCTCAGTATCTCTTAGATACTTTGCAAATTGTTATAAAATTACTTGCTCATTTAATGGTTTGCCAAGGGAGTCATAAGAAATGAATCACGTAAGTGTGTAAGATAAAAAAAAATCTAATTCAAGACCGTAATATTGATTAATAAATCAGCCTATACTTTAACAAAAAATATTAGAAACAAGACATAGAAAAGAGAGTATTTATAAATTAGATAAAAATTAATATTATTTACAATAATAATATATACAGGAACAATGAACCTAAAATTAAAAACATTAAAAAATATAATATAATAACTAAAATATATACATAGACATATAAAAAAATTATGAAGTTATATAAATATTTATACGAAATACTTTCATAAATTCAATTTGTTGCGAATCAGAGTATTATTTTACTAGGTTTTATTTTATCTAAATAGCTGACATAAAAATCTTTATTTATTTCTTTGAAAGTCACACTACACAACCATTTTGTGTCTAGTTCGCGACCTTCAGGTACAGTATTGACATCACTCTGAACTTTCATAAGGAAATTCGTATAGCGGTCTGCGGTTTGACGAGGGTGGGACGTGGGGTGCACGCAGGGTAGAATATTAGCATATGAGTAAAGAAGGCACTGAGGCAAAGCATCATGCAGTGCGTCCATGTGAGCGAGCACTCGCGGCCTGTTGCTGCTAATAGGGAATATGCACGATTTTTGTTTATATGTTTATTTCATAGTTTACACTCCCTTATCATACATAGTATGAAAATATTAAAAGTCGAAAATATAACGTAATGTTTAAAAAAAATTTGTCACTTTGCACGGGTATTTTCAAACTCCGCTATTTTGGAACTTTTGGTGTGACGTCACAGTCTACAGAAACGTAGCAACAACACAAACAAATCCAGTTAGATTAAGGCCTATTCTAGACGGATGTAATCCAGAGTCCAAACCAAGGTGACCTTGGTGGGAACTTGGTTTCCATCCATCGTTATGATTTTCGGCTACACGGATGTAATCCACGCGCCGACACGCCATCGCGAGCCGTCTTCTGGCGTGAAAACACGCATTCACTCGTATCATGCGCGGACTGTATTAACCGTGTTGTAGAAATGGCTCCAAATTAGTCTAAATTTCTAAAAGTGGGCTTCGCCTTAGCAATTTTGTGTGCAATAGACGGCGAAAAACCAAAAAAAGAGGACGTGGATGAAGCGTTGGTTGGTAAGTTTTCGCATTTATCTCGATGGATTACCATTCAAAAGTATTCAACAAAGTCTTCGACAAGGAAGGCACGTTAATGCTAATAACAATAAATGTTTATTAAAGGCGTATAAAACCTAATAAAGCCGTTGAGGCGTTGGTCCCGGCCACGTCTGCACCCACTAATCCGCACTGGATCCGCGTAAGTTTTTCTGCATATCTACACGAAATCCGAGCGCGACCGTTTCATAAATACATTAAGTAAACGCCAGCTTCGTTTGATATTACCCAGTCTAACCAAAAATTTACTATCTCTAGCTCCTCCGTGCTTCGGAATGCACTTTAAGCCGTTGGTCCCGGCTGCATCTGCAGTCGTTAGCATCCACCAATCCACACTGCAACCGCGTGGTTGATCACGGTCCAACCTCCCTATTCCATCCATAGGTAGGGCCCGTGCCCTAGCAGTGGAGACATTAACAGGCTGATGATGATAAATGGGTAGAGCATCCTTCTTTACTTTAATTAATGTTTGCATAAATTACTATTATGGCTATAAAAACCAAGAAACTCGCTCTATTTTTCTTCTATAAAAATATTGTCACTCTGTGACAGGTGGCCAGTCCTTTTATCAATGTCTGACTTCCTTTCATAGTTATAAGATTTCGAATATTATAATAATTTAAATGGTATGTAATATCATTGGTATTACAGTTATTTTCATTTACTAAATAGGTATATTTAAAACGAAAGCTCAATATTCAGCTCAATCTCAATTTTTTTGTCCAGTCACAATGTCTCATGTGAATTGTCCAAGTCTCGGAAGCAATTTCGAGATGCCAGTTTGTGTGTATCTTTTGTATACCAATATTTTGAGTGTATTGTGGATTTGAAAGTTCTAGAGAAATCGCGGCTGTAATTCAACCCCCGTCCTATGGGACGGACGGTCATTTCTCTCTGCCAATCACTCTTTTACAGGAATTTATAGATCCCAACCGATATCAGAACACAGGCGTTTTACTCACGCACTGGTAGGTAAAAAGTTTAACTTACTAACCTTCTGGGGCTAGGGTAGGGTACTACTCTGAACAGTTAGTGATCAACTTCCACATGATTTCCTAACGTTACTACGTCTTTGAGAATTATCACTCAAAATGATTTAAAGAATTTAGTAAGATTGTTAAAGCCATCTATCCTTCGACGAGAGAAGCTGCAATCGGTCCATCATCATCGTCCATTCATACATTCATCCCTCACTCATTAGTTTTATATACATAGGTTTTATATACATAGGTTTTATATACATACATACAAAAAAGACAACGTACGCACATAATTTCAATAAGATCTGTATTTTACTATGAATAATATTCTACAATCTGAATATCCGATTTTTATTGAGAAATCCGCTTAAAGAAGACACTAAGCTATCGAACAAAGATTAATTTCAGGTATTGTGATCTGACTGTGTATGGTGAAATAGAATATCATCCATGGTTAAATCCTATGTATTTCATACTATGTAAGTACAACAAATTGAAATATATTACACATGAAATTTTAAGAATCCACTAAACGTAATAAAATTTCAAAATAGTATAACAGTCTGGTGTGATCAAGAGTCTGGAGTAGAAAAACTAAGAAGTTTCACTATTACAACTTAAAAGTTTCAGATATTTAGAGTAAGCCCCTTACATTTCATCGATCACCTTCATCTTGACAAAAGACTTTGGCAACACTATCGTTTCTCAATTCTATTTACATGACCTTATTTCTAGAGGAACATTAGTTTCTTTTAGTTAAATGTAGTAAAATGTAGCTGCCATGATTAAATAAAATGTATGATTCTCACTGTTCTTGCTTGGTAGGATCTGAATATTCCACCATTATCAAAAAGTTGAGAGAATGTAAATATTAACCACCAAGGTTAACTTTATGAAACAGCTTTAAAAACTCTATAAATTGTAACGTGAAAAACCGGGTAAGTGAGGTAAATAAAAAATAAGGCTCCGATTATAACTCCATTTATTGGTAATCTCCAAATTTTAAATGAAAAGGTTAAGGTAAATTATGTTAAGGTTAGTTATATTTAAGTTAAGTTTAAAACAATATTTATGAAACGGAGTGGTATTTAAGTTAAGTTTAAAACAATATTTGTGAAACGGAGTGAAATTAGCCGCTGGCTGGAGCCGCACGGTCCTGGATCCTGCGTCATCGCCAGCTGATTGGACAAATCGGTATTTGTTATCAAATTGGATGCTACGAACAGAAGGATTACTATGATCAACCAAAATTCCGATTCAGTTCTCAATAAGAACTGATGAAGTTTTACTTTAATCTCGTACTATGACCTCCAAAACCAAAACTGAGTCGATCGGATAGGGTATGAACGGAATGAATGATAGTCACAGATCAAGTACTAATTTATAAAAGTCTGCTATACATAGATATATATTTCTAATTATTGAATAGATATTTTAAAATTTATTCTGACCATGGATACAAGTCCCTTAGTAGAACATATTTATTACAAAACTCCAAAAACATATACATGAAACCATAAACCTAACGTAAAAGGTAAGTCACATAATCAGGGTGGTGATAAAGTAGACATTAGTGCTCTGAATGCACATTTTGCTACGTCCTCCACGCCCCTGGATGCCAACATCAAAGTAAACACCTTACGTCATTTATCGGACTCCCCTAAGCCCTCCTCTAATCCTTTTAACCTCAGTCCCGTTTCCGAAGATTCTGTGCAGAAATCCGTTTTGGCAATTTCGTCTATTGCCAAAGGAAGTGATGGAATCTGTTCCAGGATGGTTTCCCATATTCTTGGTGAACTCATTCCTGTGCTTACCCATGTTTTTAACTTTTCCATCGCAAGCAATAGGTTCCCATCAGCTTGGAAATGTGCTCATGTTATTCCTTTACCTAAAATCACGAACCCTCTGTCCTGTTCTGATTACCGTCCTATCTCCATATTACCATTCCTCTCAAAAGTCCTTGAACACCTTGTTCATAAGCAGCTCTCTCTGCATTTGTTGTCCAATAACCTATTAAACCCATTCCAATCCGGCTTTAGGCCGGGACATAGCACCGTAACTGCTCTTATTCAGGTGACTGATGATATCAGGCTTGCTATGGAGAATAAGTCCCTCACATTATTATTGCTGCTTGATTTCAGTAATGCTTTCAATGCAGTTGACTTCGACATTCTCCTAGGCATACTTGACTCTCTCAACTTCTCAGTCGGTGCTGTCTCCTGGTTCGATTCTTATCTCCGAGACCGATCCCAAAGTATCCGAATAAATGACAACCTCACGGACAGATGCACATTATCTACGGGAGATCCTCAAGGAGGCATCTTATCCCCGCTACTTTTTTCACTACTTATCAACACCGTGACTAAATCTTTAAACTGCAGCTATCATCTCTACGCCGACGACTTGCAGTTGTATCGTCATTTCCCCGTTTCCGATGTTAACGAGGCTATATCGGCTCTGAATGAAGACTTAAATTACATACACAATTGGGCTAAATCGTATGGGTTGCAGGTAAATCCCTCAAAGTCTAAAGTTATGATGATGGGAAGTGCTTATATGACGAAACAGTTGGATTTGAAGTTGCTACCACCCGTGGTATTCGATGGCTCAATTATTCCTTTCTCCCTTACTGCCAAAAATTTAGGAATCACGTTTGACAGCAACTTGAATTGGAAAGCTCACATTAACGAAGTCAGTCGTAAAGTATTTTCCTCTTTTCACACATTAAAATCTTTTCAATACTGTTTACCGATTGAAACCAGAATTTCTTTGGCCCAGTCACTGATTCTCCCCAGTCTGGACTACGCAGACGCCTGTTATCTGGACATCACAGAGGAACTTTTGACTAAGCTCGAACGTCTACAAAATTTGTGCATACGTTTTATTTTTGGTCTGCGTAAATATGACCATGTTTCCAAATTCAGAACACAACTTAAATGGCTTCCTATCCGTCTTCGTAGAAATTCCCGTATCCTATTTCTGTTATTCAACATTTTGCATAACCCAGCGTATCTTGCGTATCTTCGTGACCGCTTCCAGTTTGTGCGACCTCCGGGGGTGCTCTGCAGATCACACGTTCGGACTCTGCTTAAAATACCACCCAACCATTGCCGTACCGACTTCTACAGCGACTCCTTCACTGTTTATTCAGTGAAGTTGTGGAATGCCCTGCCGTCAGAAATTAGAGACATCACAACACTTCCGCTTTTTAAAAATATAGTCAAGGAATATTATCTGTCCTTGACATAATTTTTTGTATTTTTTCTTTCTCTCAGTTGTTTTTTTTTCCTATCGAAACTTCTTGTGTGTTCATTTATATTTATTTGTATATGTTTATGTATTTATTATATATTGTTTATATATTTTTATTCATATAGTTGATATGCATTTATTTTATATTTTTTTTGATTAATATGTTTTAGTGTAGGTACACGCGACATTTATGTCTCCCAGCATAGCTCCTATCGCAGGTGGGCTGGAAGAGATTTCTCAGAGAAATAAGCCACACCTTTTGTACGTAATTATTTAAGTATTTTTTATGTATTTTTATTTAGTGTACAATAAATTATTAAATAAATAAATAAAAAAATAACATAATGTTCGGAAAACTCATAAATATATGACTTACTTATTATAGTATTAAAAAAAATTATACCTACATCTTTTTTTCAATATTGTATTTTCTATATTATTTAGGTAAATAAAGAAAACCCGAACCTGATGAACCTGAATTTTTTGAGCATACAAATCTATCTCGCTTATGCATAATTGGGATTGTTTCGCGTGTGTCAGCGGTCATTTGCTGTTTCCTAAAAAAATTGAATTATACTAGTCTTTATAGACTTATCTTATTAACTCTTCTAGATATCTAATATTGAATTAAAAAGACATCAGACTAGTCATAGCCTTCTTCACCATTATCAACGAAGAAAAAAATTCAAATCACAAAACTGTATGGCTTAACCTTTGCTTTCCCAAAAGAGCAAAACAAAATAAAAATTCGTTAATCTGTCAACCACGCGTGAGCGCGGACTTTTTGGCGGGATCGGGAAGCGTCACTTTAGCAGTTTTGTTTATCTTGTTAAAAATTGTGTCGTGGTGGATGTTAGTGTCTAATAAAGGTGGATTATTAACCACTAAGTGTTCGGAAACATGCACAAGTGTTGGCAAGTGCAACAAAATAGCGGAAAGTGTCTTTCGACGTTCCCTCAAGAAGTCCACGGGGAGGTTCCAGTAAATCCCCACACATTTACTGAAACATAGGGAAAGGGGGATTGACTTGACTGCCACTTACTTAGACTTGACTAATATTTTGACCACGAGTGCTATAGAATATGTAAACATTTTACACTTGACAGTGGCTAAATGCACAAACCGTGCGAAGTCATATAGAAAAAAACAGTGTGAGCGTATTAACAGCAGAATGTTATCTACATACAAAGTGCACTTGAGCAAGCACACGTAGATACCGCTCACGAAAACTACAAGATTTGTCGGACTGCTTAGGACTAGTGAGAGTGCCATGCATTTGAGACACGCGTCTGTGAACTTATTGTGCCAAAATAGAGCAAAAAAATCATTGTAACTGTTGAGTGGACGGTTGTTTGAATTTAACATTAAATGGTTAATTATATTATCTTTTTTGAAGTGAAACTTCTATATAGACTATTAGGATTTTGCTGACACGAAAAAGCGTTACAGCCGCGTGAAGAGGGTAGACGATATATCGCGCGGTGGGAGACGGCACGCTGGCGAAGATTCTCTCGGCAATTGTCAGTTAAAGTTTTACTATTTCTATGGGTCCGAATACACATATCGTTTTTTTTTAATTTGGTTTTATAACATTAACATTATAATTGAAATTAAGTAAAGTTTCATGTTTATGACGTTTCACCCCTTCCTTTCACCTAATTGAAATACATAGATTTGTTTTATATTTTCATTCTTCCTGTTTATTTAACAACAATTAACCGAAAAACTAGAAACGTACGAGTGCCACTACCACCTTTTTTTTGTGCACAAGCCAAAGTTGACAAGCCTAATGAAACTGCCAAGCGTAGGTATTAAAAGTGAAATACGTACATGAGATTATCCACGGTACTATCTATTTTTTGTTTCCGATTCAGTTTAGGTACTACTCAATAGTTTGTAACTTCGTAGTCGCAATTGAATGAATGATCAAGCCGATTGCTATTATCTGACTTATATGAGTTGGTACGCAGTTGCAGAATGTACTAATTATATCAGTTACTAACGCCTTATAATATGGGCTAGTTTCCAATAACTATATGATTTTAAAATTATACGACTTTAAATACAGAATATTAATTAATTACATAATTTCATTTTGGTTTCACATTTGTTTTGGATTCCTTTTTATTTTATTTAATATACAATTTAAAATTTAAAAAAACACACATTGATTGAAACCTAAAAATAATAAATACTAACAAAGCATTTAAGTTAAATATTGTTACTAACGATTTAATGGACCATTTTGTTGTCTGTAAACAATTTGAATTGAATAACATCTTAATTTAACAAGGAATGTGGCGCCACAAATCTGATATCACTTTGTAGTTGAAACATTGTACCCAGACCTTGACTGAATCAAATTCAAAATCAGTTCTTATCAAGAACTTAATGAGTTCTACAATAAGAGATCATAGTAAGCTTCCTGTTGGAAACGCGATGACATCTGCCACATTCATCATTATCTTTTACCGAACTATAGATCAAACCATTTCTTTTTACAGCAAATTCTCCTGTGTGGACTTAAATATATAAGAATTGGCGATCGATTTACAGTGATAAAAGTATTAGATAAATAAATCTGGAGCTTAGGTGCATATGGGCGGATGTGCAGGTCGGGCAAAATTTTTTTATTGAATAACAAAGAAAAGCTCTTCGTTCTCTTTCCATAGCACTAAGAGCTGTATTTCTATCTCTTTTCTGGGCTAAGATAATTCCGTGCATAATGTCGGTTCTTACAGATTTTCTAAAATCATTAGAACCTTAAGGTTTCATTTTCACTTCCTTCTCTCTGCGTCTACATTACTGTATTTTTCTTTTGGTGGATTGAAAATTTGGCCCTTATGCTTAAAAAAAATATTCGCACCAAGGCTACGTAAAAGGAGTCACGCCTTTATGGTTCAAACAGTGATTTAAAATATTCATCGTAACTAAACCTCCGATATTATGCATCTAAGATTCCTTTAATAACTTTAAAACGGTTGTAGATATACGACTTTATGCCTTTTGTTTTAGAAACTTTGTAAATGCATTGGTGGGCCAATGTAAAAATAAATCGTTATGGATGTGAACTATTCAAAATATGGCGCCAAAAAATTAGCGACATTGGGCATTATCTGTCCAATGACTAACACTGAATTAGTTTAAGTGTAATGAGATACGTTGTGATTGGTCGTTGCGCGATCGTATGTCTGGCCGTCTGTCACTTTGCTCCTTGCACGCATTGTTTGTTTACATTTCGGTGTTTTTGTTTTACCTTCGGTCTGTTGGTGTTTTGTGAAGTGACTGAGAAACCTATATCTACTGCAAAGTACAATGAGCTGATGACTCTTTTGAAATGAGTTCCTATGGAGTTTCATATCTACTATAGAAATCTTATTCATAACGGAAATATTCCCGACTTTCCAGCAAGTGACTAATTAATATACAAAATGCGTTAAAAAATTGTACCTCTTAGAAAATCATTTTCAAATGTCATTAACTTTTAATATGCACATGTAGTCACAGTAATAATGATTTAATTGAAAAATGTTTCTTAATTGACTTAATTAAAAACATTACTTTTCATTATCAAATGAAACCTAGTGCAAGAAATAATGTGTCACAAAAATTCAATGCAAATTTTGCTACCGTGAGAGTCGCTTGTTGCGTTTCCTTGTGTGGGTATAAAACGGTCCACACGGAGTCAACGTACAGATTTTACTGAAGAAAAATCACCTCGAAGATACCACAGCTGATGAAGCCGCTCAAGTATTTGCACTACGGCAATTAGGAATGCGGCAGTGTGATGTTGCCCGGCAACTGAACCGTTTTTCCGTTCGAAGAGTATAGACCAGTGCTTCATAGAGACTGGTGGCTATATCCGGAGACATGGGTCCGGTAGACCGGTAGACCGTTGAACAGGTCGTCTCTGTCGAACTCTGAGAAATCGTCTCTCTAACGCTGTTGAGTTGCAAAAGCAGCTTCAGGCAGTTTGTAGACGCACCGTGAGCGTCTCTACGGTTAGAGGAAGACTGAAGGAGAAAAGATAGTGGCCCACAGAGCTGCTACGGGTCCCAAGTTGACAGCAGCGCATCGGCGAGCCCGCTTACAGTTTGCTCGTGACCACGTCCATTGGATCCTTGAGCAGTGGAGAGCTGTTCTCTTCACAGACGAGACGCGAGTGTGTCTTTTCTGCAACGATCGACGGAGAAGAGTATACCGGAGGCAGGGTGAACGTTTTGCGGAAGCCTGCATCCAGGAGACGGTGGAATATGGGGGCGGCTCCTGCATCATCTGGGGCGGTATGTCGGCTGCCAGCAAAATCGGCCTTGTCTGCGTCTCTCGGACTAGAAGTACTCGCGGACAAGGGTCGCTGACTGCTCGCCGCTATGTCACAGAGATCCTAGAAGTGCATGTGGTCCCCTTTGCTGAATCTTTTGGCGAGGGGTTCACATTAATGCACGACAACGCCCGCGCCCACACTGCAGCTATCGTGAGTGACTTCTTACAGAGGTCCCAAATCTCTGTGATGCAGTGGCCAGCGAGAAGTCCGTACCTGAATCCGATAGAGCACCTCTGGGGTCATCTTAAACGCAAGGTTCGATCTCGGGATCCAGCTCCTTCGACTCTACAGGAGCTCCAAGTCGCGGTGATTGAAGAATTCCCCCCCTAGCCCATTCTTACACTAGATCGGGAGTAGAGGGATAGGGGGGTAACACTAGATCTTAAGTTAAATTTAAGATACTTTTTGTACATTTTTCTTTGTAAATTATCTGTTGTTAATAAGGACTTAATTAAGGTTTTTTTTTCATTTTAATGTTGTTTGTATAATTTTAATTAAATAAAAGGTAAAATTAAAGGTTTTTGGATACTCCTTTACGTTACCTTTCTAATGATACACAACAATATTCTCTAAATAATATTTAAGAATTTTTAAAGGTGCATTTTTTTGACGCCGTGTGTTATGTATACCCCAGTAAATAGATGAATAATTAAATATTTTAATTTTCTCTCATTTTCTTATTATTATTAAATTAATAAGTATCGTTTATTTATGGAATAGTTTTTTTTGTTAAGAGATGTCCGACTTTTTGCCTAAAGAACCACGGTTAATAAATGAACACAAAAAAGTCGCATTTGGACAAACACCATACATTAAATTACAAAAATTGGAGGCATAAAGCCGTATGGGCACATACTAATCAGTTGAACAAATACATTGAATAATTTTAGTGGCATAAAGGCGGATGTCATCATTTTTTTTAAAAAAGTTAATTTTTCACTGTTTGGAAACATTGTTTTTAAATTTTAATTATGAAGCTAGTTAAGCTCCTTATTTAGCTAAGTAAATGCAAAGACAACATTTACATATTGTTTGTACTTACTGAAATATTTGCCGATAAAATTGAATTTTTATTTTATTCTGTCCTGTAAAGTTGGCAAAATCAACATCCGCCCTAATGCTTCTAAGCTCTAGAAATCTTAACAACAGTTCCTTATACTATTTTTCATTCAATTTGATTTGATGCCATTATAAGTAATTAACATTAGGAGAACTAATAAATGGCAAGTATTTTTTGTTAGGTACGTGATATCATTGAAAAAGTGAAACCAAATACTTCACATCTTAACCTCTTGATTCTTCCATCAAGCCAACCTCCCTCTCATTTTCCCTAAAACCCTTTTCGTAGTAATATTTCTTACTTCTTTCTTTCTATTTTCCATTTATTACAAAATTTCTTATTAATACGTGTTGAGAAATTATGCCATACAGTCTCCCACAAAACTTCTATTGAAGAATACCTATTTGATAAACAAATGCAAACATACCAGAAAAGATGATGCCATAGCCTTTTTATCGGTCGTAAACGCGTTATAAATGTCATGAAAACTAATATATGCCTGGTAAATTGAATGAAATCGTCTGTTGACATTGGGGGCGGGCCACTGCGAGTCAAGGGCAGTGGCAGCAGGAGGCCACGCTTTTCCAAGGGTGCCATAACTCCTTGGCCTTTGAACAAGTATAAAACAACTGAATCACTACATGGGAATAGTTTGGTGGCATCGAAGAGAATAAACAGTTCGAAAACGGTAATGTTTTAAAAATGAATTCTTTCGACTTCATACTTAAAATAATATTAAAAATAATGAATGATAATTAATATTAGAATTAAGTTGCTATTTATAACGAATGAGAAAGCCAGGCGCATTACAATATGATAAATCAATAAATAACATGGGAACCAGATTTTAACCAACGCTAACGTAATAAGGAATTGTAAACTACCATTGGGTTTCAGCCAACGATAACTAACCGAGAATTGAACCTACTTACTAGATTTTCTTGGCAGATTTATCCGCCTGGATTCATAATCAAAAAAATCATATGTCAGCTTTATTAAAAAATACTTTCAAAACCTACTCATGGAATAACAGGATCGTAAGAATATTATGTGAATCTACATTGTACAGCTCATCTTTTAATAGACGTACAAAATTCCAAATAATCGACAAAAGAATCTCTAAAAAATCGACATGAAAGTCATCCTCTACTAAAAAAACGACGGGTTGCACTCCGGGAGTGCCGGCAGAAGTGAAAACTTGAATATTAACGTTGTGCATTTTTGATATTTTGGAATAGTAAGGGGAATAATTTTGCACGAATTACTTTAATTATCAGTATAAAAGTACTAACATTTATGTGGTAGAATACAATATTCATTTATTGCGCTATCGTACACAAACATGACGATATATATTACATTAAAACGTTTATCTCTCAGAAAAATCAACCATATAATGATCTATTGTAAAAAAATGCAATTTCTTCGCAATAAAGCTGCCACTTGGACGTCCTAGTTAGAGACTCATTATTATATTACGATAAAATAAAATATTACTATGTTTCGTCCAATATATTGAAAGTCAACAACCTTTCCAATTTTATTGTTTTCGTCTTACGCCACGTTTCCTGACGCGAGTTTAAAATTTTTTACAACGCCGCTAAAGAAGTTTTCACCTCTAAAATATCTAGTTCACATCCCTACAAGCACCCATTACTTTATTGGAAGTTGCGTGTGACGTCGGCCTATGTCCGGGCTTTTATCGTTATTAACGCACCCGTTTACATTGCTCGGGCAACCCACGTTTTGTCTCATACATTCCTAATGATTGAATAAAACGGCTATTCCTTCAATAACTGTATGGAAACGATTTTACTGCCGTGGTACGAATGAATATATACTTAGTTTTTTAGATTTGTAAAGGTGACATAATCATGCCTAGATTATTTTAAAGTAAACCCCTTAGATTAAAACAAAAAGGGAAGATACGGCAGTCGCGGCTCAAAAGTGATCCGTTTAAATTGTGGTGCATGACCACAATTCGCTTTATTCACAATTGGACATTCAAACACGTTGCATGTGCACTCAATATAGCAATATTGCGTATATTCTGTGTTATAAAGATAAAACAATGCACAAATAGTTTAAAATCAAATAACCAATGCCTCGGCAACACTTTTCGTAAAACTCCGTTTGCTTTGAATTTTATTTATGTAATCGCCATTTTGTCATCAAGAAAAGGACAACAATATAGCTCAGCAGTGCGAACTCAGACGCAGAATCGCCGTTTCGCTCACTCTGCGTTGAAGCGTACAGTTCTGTCTCGCACGTTCGATTGAATGTTTATTTACAGAGGTGTACGTGTGTGAGGGTTGCTTATGTAGTCGAGTCGGAGCATATTTTATTTAAATGGTAGTATGAGCGTTTCGTATCTTCCCTTTTGTGTTAATGTACGGTAAAATCACGAAATAAATAGTACAGAAGATAATCTACATATAAATTGCGCTCGACCAACGCACACATCGACACCGCTCACGGAAACGATATCTGGGACCATTTGGGACCAGTAGGACTATTCTGTAAGAGCGAACACACTTTTCACCTCGGAATCCTCGATGTGATTTAAAATTTGAAGTAGATTTTTTTATACTGTATGAAGGAGATGTAATCTACTAAATAAAAATATAAAAAATCATGCATTATACTATTATTGTGAAATGTCACATCCACAATCGTGATTTTTTTGGTTATCCCACAGGAGTTTAAAATTTTCCAGTAATAAAAGTAACGAGTAAATACCGATTCACGAGTCATAAGTACAAATAATTTCTTCCACTTTTGCGTACATAATTTCATATAGGTGTCTGAGTAAAGTATTTAAATGGTTTTTCTCAAACATGTTTGGAAATGTGAATGTGTGTGTACTAGCCACGTACATGCCAGCAGCGGACGGCAAATGTTGTATGAAAATTCCGAAAGTTCCGCTTAGTTACATCTTAGTTTTAGTTTCCGTGCATTACGTGAGAAGAGTACTATACAAGCCTTGGCCGCAACTAGGCATTGATGGTCTTACGTATGTGTGCCTCCACTTCACCTTGGCCCATATTTACACGTTCGTCTATCAATGCCTCTTTTGTTGGGCGCTGCAGTAATATACTATTTCTAACATCATTTCATTTCTTTTTTTACCCCTCTCAAATATTATTTTAGTCGTTTTTATCGCAGGTTTGTAAAAATAAAGTCTACTTCGCTACGGAGCTCCAAAGTAGACTTTATTTCTGCGTACTTACTTTGTGTTTTAAGCGTAAAGGCATAGCAGACAGGCAGTCATTTTCGCCTTTATTAGGAGGTTTATTTAATTTCAATCTTGCCGCTCGGATGCATCCACCAGCCATTCTCTTCGATCGCGAGCCGTACACCGCGATAGCATCTATTAAAAAGTTGCGGCGCGGCGTTTTAGTTTTTCTGAAAAGTTTTTTTGTGTTTATTACATTCCATTGGGTGAATTCGTTGATTGCTTTTCAGAATAGCGAAAAAAGTAAACACCTCTGCTCGCAATGAGAAATAGTGTGGTATTCACTATCTTATTGATAAAGTTTTATTGGAACATATTATTTACTTATAAAGCCCGTGGTTATCTCTGAGCTCTGAATGTCTATACTATTTATACGTTTCTAAGTTGTTTGTGATATATTTCCGTTTTGAAAATCTTAGCCAACTAAAATTCTCTAAAATTTTGCCAACCGAGAAGTTGGAGCTCACAGTTGTTTACTTACAGTTACCTATTATGTAACAGAATAGTTATGTTTGCACACCAAATTATGACATGAATCATTACCCATGCTGGAAAATGATTTTAAAATAGACTTAGCACACAACGAAGAGGATGAAAGCGTCTAATCCAATACGTAGTGGCAATTTAGCCTCCGGCGGGTGGGTGCTCGGCGTATATCCCTTAAGCCCATATAGCCTATTTGTGGGCTCAACGCTCCTGCAAACCTAAATACATCCTCCTTTTATCATCAAAAATGTCACAAACGTTAATATGCTGGCTGAACACATATTGAATTTGATCTGTTTATTCAAATGTATGATGAGATGCAGACAGTTTTGTTTTATAAATATTGTTTTTATTGTAAAAAAAAGTGATAAGATGCTATTCCTTGATCTTTCATTTTCATTCGTGAAATGGAGAATGAAAGCTTTTTTCTCCATTTCACCCCCAACGATTCAGATTTCGATGAAAAAAATAAACATGTTGTTATAATAATCTTTTGATATTGTTATAAAACAAAATATTGTTAATACAACAATTCACTGCAATATACTAATACGTGACTAAACAAATTTATTTTTAAATTCCACACAAAACACTGAATGATAATATATTCAATGTTCAATCAGTGTCAGTGTAAGTCTTATTCGACTATAGGTAGTTATTAGTTTATTCAAATTGGAACAAGTAATGAAAGTGGGATTTTGAGAAAAATGTTTATGTATGGAAGGTGCAGCGCATCTCGCAGATTCACAATCACAAAGCTTGTTTGAGGACGCTCCGATATTTACAATTCAGATCGCAGCTTGCTTGGACCAATAGGCGAATAAAACTTCAGGCTCCGAAGAATTAGCTTAGCTTGGCTAATGCTAAGAGAAAAAGTAAAAGACATTTAGTTTAAAATAAATCATAATTGTACGATAAAGCGAGAGAATTTGGGATGCACATTTCATACGATAATTAAATTTTTCTAAGCAGACACTATTATGTTCCATAGCCATGGTTTTCTGTTCATTAACGTTTTCAATTGCATTTTACATTAAATATAAAAAATTCCGGTCTTAAACTTATTTTTACGATCCAGAGACCCGTTACATATAGACAGACAGACGACAAGGTTACAGGAATAGGGTTCCATTTTTACCTTTTGGGTACAGAATCATAAAAATCACATTCTCACACCATCGGATACTTTGAAGCCTAGCACGTTATACCCTCGCATTTGCACCTGATACCCACATCATCCTCATGGATTCATTGAGGCAAGCTTTCAGATACGATCGTTTCTAGTTGTAATCCTTTACAGACAGTATCACTTCCCTCAACTTATTTTAGTTGTCTCGGTTCCAATAACCGACACCAGCAACTTAAGCGTTGCCGATATCGAGTTTGAGGTCTGTCAAAATGAAGGACACGTAAATATTTGATAGGACAACAACGCGATCCATGCGATCGATCGTATCAACTTATTTACGAGCTGTTATTATCAAGTCAACACCAGTGAATAGAGATCTGTCGCTATTATTAGGGCGTTTCTTTATTTATTTCCAGTAATTTAGCATAAAATTTATGCGTACCTACTTAATTAAATGCAAATTCGTTCAGTGATGTTTGCGTGATTGAGTAACAAACATACAAACTTTCCCATTTATAATATTACGAGCGGCCGCCCGTCACATTGTCCGCGTTAAATTAAGATTTTTAAAAATCCCTTAGAAACCTTACACTTTTCCGGGATAAAACATAGGTATCCCGTCTCTTTCCAGATCATAAGCTGGCTATGTATAAATTTCATCCAAAACTATTCAGCCGTGTTAACGTGAGTAACTAACATCGAAACACACAAACATAAAAAAATCACATATACAATATTAGCAGGGTAGTAGAAAGTAATATTCATCTTTAAATATTTGACCGTGGCGACAGAGTCAATTTTCGCCATATTTTGGCTAATCTAAAAGGCTGATGGTGTTCTGTTGATATGTGGCTTTCTGTGTGTCACGATAGTAATATTAATTTGGAAATTATAAAAACACAAGCATTAACTCGACGATCGACGAAAATTATGTTTGGTTAGTATAGTTAAACAATGTTTGGTCTTTTAGCTAATTGTAGTGACGTATCCAACTTTGTGACCGAAACAAGTCGATTAATAAATATGTATTCAGCATCAGCCTATTAATGTCCCCACTGCTGGGGCACAGGCCTTCCCTATGGATGGAATAAGGAGATCGGGTCATGACCCACAACGCGGGCCCAGTGCGGAAATATGTATATTAATTTTTATACGATTTGAACGATGCCACTAAACAAACATAAGAGTAAGCTTCAATTACTTATAAATTTATATAATTCATGTAAATACTGTACACATCAGATTAATAACAATATGTAAACAAACAATACAACACAGTAGGTATTAAGTATTTATAAAATATGTAGATTGTAAAACAAATAATCTTATCTAACTTTTAATAAGAAAAAACTGTTTTAAAAATAATCTCAGTCTTTCACTGTAGTGTGATTTAGGCATCCTTGAATATGAAATTGTGTGGGACGGTAATGTAGTTAATCGAAGCTACTTTGGTCTGCATGGGTGGTCCGAACCACTCCACCCTGAAGTTCTGTATGAGTCTGCTGAGGAACGTGTAGATTTCCAGCTCCGCGATTCGTCGGCCTGCCCAACACAAAATAGGATCTTTATTCATTTGTCAATCAAAAAAATCTTTAGAGTTAGGTTCACTGCAAAGATATAGTTCGAGAATCTTCGTCCTTGGTTCATTGTCATATAAATGGTCTATTACCAATCATTGAAAACAGGTTTGTTCTTTAATTTTCAATTCTACCAGCGGTAGTTTAATTATTAAGCTGCGTACGGATAGCGCATTCCTTTGCTAGGAGTAACCGGGACACACTGGCCACGCGTTCATCGGATAATTCAGCTCCTCTACAGACTACCGCGAAGCTGAACGCGAGGCCAAACTATCCATAGCACGACGCGTGCCACCCGCCTGTCATTATTAGTTACTAAATGAAACTCGATCGGCAAAATGGCGTCCATTTTGCCGTCCAAATACAGAATAACGCATAATTGACGCGTGACCAAAAACAGATTGACGCGAACAGTGGCTCGCCAGCCAGCGTCCACGTCAGTCTTATGTACATTATGATTGTAATTTGTATGGATTTTATATTTGAAATAAAATTATTATTATTTTTAAATACAACTATGGCTACGGTCCTGCCATAGCCAGGAGTTTTGATAGCACGGTCCAGGCGCGCTATCCGTATGCAGCTTTATGATGAACTAGACTTTCTGAAGAAGTTGGAAACATTGTAAAGTGAACGAAACAAAAAATAGACAACAGCCGTGCAATGTGCAATTTAAAAAAAAAACTCTTGTTTGAAGGAGTACAACTTCAGTAGAAGTCAAGAAAGTTAAGACTAGAAATCGTTATTTATGATATTAGTGCGGTAAGTTGGTTATTACAAACGAGAAGACGAATGTACCATAGTCACGAGTTGGTAAACGCCAATTCCGCAAATATGTCATACAACGTTTTTCAACACATTTGCGATAAAACAGTACCTATACCTAATTTAAGTAATTGTCACCCACCAATCCCCTATTATCACCCATCAATCCCCACTATCACCCACCAATCCCTTATTTTCACTCACTAATCCCCTTATTACCCTCGAATCCCTTTTACCCTCCAATCCCCTTTTCACCCTCCAATCCCCTTTTCATCTACCAATCTACTGTGCTCATTTAGTCTAACCAGCAGCGTCGCTTAGATTAGTTTAACTTATCATTTTTGTCCTGCGTCCCGAGACGCACACGCTTTTTTTGCTTTAGTGCTTACAAGGAGATTCGAATAAAATAAAAAAAAACCGTAAAGAATAAGCACGGCGTTATGTAAGGGAGGGTGCGGTAAAATGTTTTACCGCACGCCGTTGGGTGACTCGTAATTTAGAATTTCCGAACAATGTATACAACCTTCGTAAAAAGTGTGTGTTGAAAATTAGTTTTTTGTTATTATTTATTTATAAATTAAGGTTACACAATCTCCTTTAATAGTCTACTGCAATCCTTACAACAATGTAAAATTGTATGAAGGAAAAAAATATAATCCCCTATATAACAATTGTAGAGTTAAGCTAGATTTCATTTAAACCAGTTGGCAAGTTGTAGAAAATTTGCACTCCTTATTAGATTTCTATATCTAAAGAAAATTTTACTATAAAAAGAAACATCTCCGCGTTGTTGCTCTTCTACCAATTATTTTAGACATAACCACTTGAGTTGGATTCGTTGGATCCCTGGATTATAAAACAAAATTGTACTTAAGAAATCAAGGGTAAGTAAATTTAACTGGCAAGTGGGTTATAAGAAATTTTATGGAGTGTTCTTCTTCGTGTCTTTATGAATTATTTAGTCTTTATTATTTCGCATTGTGTAAGAAATAAAGACTCAGACAAAAAAAATATATAAACTTCGTCATGTTCCATACTAAAAATAACAAGGTCCACTTTCCTTATATCAAATTCAAAAGTTATTTATGTTTAAGCCTCATTCTATTTCTGTTTGCCTTTATGGTCACATTAAACCTTCATCATCATCATCATCAACAGCCTATCATAGTCCACTGCTGGACATAGGCCTCTCCAAATGCACGCCACTCAGATCGATCTTGGGCTACTCGCATCCAGCTCCTGCCTGCCACCATGCGCAAATCGTCACTCCATCGTGCCTGAGGACGTCCTACACTACGTTTGCCTAGACGCGGTCTCCACTCCAGAGCTCGTCTACCCCAACGGTTATCGGTTCTTCATTCTTCATTAAACCTTGATTTGAATTAATATTGGTGCAATAATTATCTTTGATTTTCTTACCTATACAACTCCTTACTCCGAATCCGAATGGTTGATTAACGAACGGGTGAGCGTTACCATGGTACAGTGGGTCTCCTTTCTTTACCAGCCAACGTTCTGGCAAAAATTCTGTGGGTCGCGGGTAGTGCTCCTCCATCATTGACATGGCTTGATGCATAAATGATATGCCAATCTGAAAATGATTATTGAGATTATTATCCAGTCTATCCAAAATTTATCAAATCATACACTTTGAAACTTTCGCGTTGTATTACATATACTCCTGGACACATTTACCGGCTCACCTAACATTTTTAGTTTTGACCTATATGGTTTTGACTTACTTAGTCAGGTCATAAATTCTGTCACATGTTTAATATAAAATAATTGAAACAAGTTTATTTATTATGTAACCATTTATATACCAAAATGAACTTAACAAAACATAGATTCTTATGACAACAAAGTTTATTCAAAATGACCTCCGTGATTTTGAATACAGGCCTTCAATCTGCGCGGCCAGTCGTCTATCGCAGCACAAACGAGGTCCATGTCAATATCGGCGGCTGCCTTAATCAAGGAGGTCTTGAGTGACTCCAAATTGGGATGAGGCTTAAAGCACGCCTTTTACTCCAAGTGTTACCATATCTTGTAATCTAACGGACTCAAATCTGGACTGGAGGAGGGTCAGTCTTCGTGCCGGATGAAGTCGATTTCACGCGCTGCCAGCCAGTCTTGTGTGCTCTTCGCTCTATGAGCTGGCGCCGAATCTTGTTGGAATACCCAGTACCTGTTATTGAACATGATATAAGAAATAGGTTCCACAAAGTTTGTCAGGACTGTATTTTGATACACAACTGCATTCGTTTTTACACCTTTCTCACAAAAATGTTCATCCGAAAAAAGAATTTCTCGAAATTTTTTTCCCGCGTACCGCTTTAACAAAGCGCGGCATCTCTTCAGTCTCAGGTCCATTAGACGAGCATTCAAACGATGTCCTGTTTTTCTTCGATATGCTCAAAGCCCTGTCTTCATTTAACACCCTTTTCACCGTGGTTCTGCTTAACCCCATCTGAAGGGCCAACAGTTTCTGCTTACGTTCGGGATTTCTTTGAATTCCCGCCTTCACAGCTTTTATCACTGCTGGAGTCCTAACAGACCGAGGGCGACCTTCTTGACCTTTCATCTATACTAGAGTCTTCATTGTATCGTTTGATGGTACGATAAACGAATCTTTTGGTTATATTCAAAATTTTCAGTATGTCAAAAATTTGAATTGGCGCGTAACCACAACGATGCAACGCAATAACTGCAACACGGTCTTCTTTATGCGTCCACTCCATATTTAAAAATGAGTAAAATTCTAAAAAGTATACATTCTTATTTTCATGAACAATTCGAAATTCGAATTCAATAAACTTTTTTGCATTCTAAAAGAAAAGTTTTTAGTGTGTGACATTACTTATGACCTGACTGTGTATATGGTTTTGACTGTCTCTAGCTAAAAATAAATGTTACATAAAGCAAAAAGCTACTATGCAATCTTGAAGATAATCAATAGTAACCATCCTTTTCATGTGTTTTTAAAAATATATTATTATTGCTCAACCTAACTAATCGGTTTTTTGCTATAGACCGTTGAAACTAATAATACTAAGTGGGCCGATAAGTGTATAAAACATGGAAAGGGTTAAAACGCACGCTTTTTTTGCGCTTCGTGCCTTCTTTATCCCGACATTTAGACCAGGTTACACAGGTCGTGGTCACGGAGCGATTGATAGCCCATGACCACGACCTGTCGATGTGTCCTCTGTTGTGATGGCTGAATTCAGCCACCTTACATACATATAATTTGTTGATATTTCACTAGTTTTATTCTGTATAAAAATACTTAACTTAGGTTGTACCATACCGTTTCAGCCTGATACCTAGGTCAAGTTGAATCGTTTCTATAAAAAGAATAATATGATTTAAAAGTAAACCACCTACCCCCGGAGGTATAGAGTAACCGAATATGACATATTCCTTTGTAGCTTCTCTTATGTTTCCGGACACCACAGGCATTATCCTCATAGATTCTTTGACACACGCTCTCAAATAGCTTCGTTTCTGATTTTCATCAGTTATGGATAATATTTCTGCTCTTAGTTTGTCCTGCTTATCTTGATTATTTGCCAGCAGATAAAGTGAAGCTGTTATCGTATTTGAGGTCTGTAAAGCGGAAAAAAATATTTTAAATTCGATATAACATTCAAACACTGTATGCCATCTAAAAAATATGTAGTTGTAGGCAAATTATGATTCTTTTCTATTTAAGACTCAGCGTGCTTATTCGTTCTCTTATATTGTAAGTACTTCTACAAAGTATTTAAAAAATAAAAAAAAAGTTGGATAAATTCATAAAAGGAAGTAACGGAAATTGGGTTCATTTTAGATTTGTGTGTAAATTGATAAAATGGTACTAGAATTTAATAAATGAAAGCTTTAGATTTTAATAAATGCATTATTTAATAGTTCGCACACACGTAGAATTGAAGAAAATCGTCGTCCATAGGTGAACATCGGAAAATGGTTAGGATCACCTGGGTTTATCGCACGATGGTTCATGCAAAATAAAAGAGCTGATAATTGTTAACACAGTCTTTAACGCCATAACTTTTTAGTGACAAAACGTAAGGAAGCTTCGTCACGCATGTCTTCGAGATGATACAAGTAGGTGCGACCGAAGCATGATCGTGATTATAATGCTAGCATCATAAACCCGGTTCATTTACCTACCTGCACTCAGAAGCGATTAATCAGCGCATAAGGAACCAAATGGCATAAAATAAGGTTACCACCAGAAGAATTAAATGCGATCCTAGATCATGATCCATGATGAATCATGGTGTAAAAGGTACAGTCAAGGTTCATTAGCCATAGCAAACACTGACTAGAGTAATGGAAGGCTAACTAGGTGACCGACTAACTGACAAAACTATCTCACTGACTGTATACATTGAAGGTACAGCCAGTGGGTTGTTTTCCATCACAAAATTATTTGTCATTGCTCTGTTACAAAGTGAGTGTCTGATTGCTAATGCATTTATGAACTTTGACTATGAATAGTTAAATGTAATTGATAAATAATGTAATATAATAATATTATGTCAAAAAGAAAAAAAAATACGCTCAAATATGCTTTCTTATTTATAAATAGTATTTTCCGTAAAAGTATATGTCGTTTTAGGTTTCCTCTTCTGCACTCATAAGCTAAGAATTATGTGTTAGAAGTGTAAACTCAACTTAACGTTGTCTCTGACTCACGTTTTCTTAGTAATATGAAAAACGAGAAGTCTTGGAATACAAGTTATACAAGCAAGTTTGTATTTTCATTTTCCTCCAATATGGTAGGATTTAAAGTATTTTATTTCGGTTTTGTTTCTTTATTCAATATAATCTGTCTTAAAAATGAGTAATCAATATATCATTGAGAAACTTTCCGGGGTGGACAACTACACAACATGGAAGTTCTAACTGAATGCATAACTATCGGCAAAGATGGTAAGCCGGAGTGTGAAGACAAGAAGAAACAGGACAAGGCGCTCGCACGAATTTGTCTGAGTGTACAACCTTCAGTTATTTCGGTTGTCAGACACAGTCAGACTGCATTTGAGGCCTGGGAAAATCTTCAAACGTCCTTCGAAGACAAGGGAGTGTGTAGAAGACTAGGCCTACTTAGACTATTGTTTGGTCTAAATTTACACCAATTTGATAACATGGAGGCGTATCTCACAAAAATTATAGATACAGCACATCAGTTGCAAGATATAAATGCTTCCCTTAAAGACGAATTTGTTGGAATTATCATGTTAAGTGGTCTCCCAAAAGATTTCGACCCACTAATAATGACTTTGGAAAACAACAACCTAACTCTTTCAAGTGATTTTGTAAAATCTAAACATATTTAAGAGATACAAAGAAGAGACGGTGAGTCCAAAGTAGATAATGCCTTGACGACAACTACAAAACGACGAAGTGCTATAATTGCAAAAAGATTGGACACTACTCAAAGGATTGCAAAGGAAAGCATCGAAGCATAAACCATCATGTTCTTCTCAGAACAACGAGGAGAAGATGCAGAGAACCGTAAAGACAACTTTGTTATCTGCATTAATGGCCAAGCTTGATCGTGATGAGTGGTACATCGACAGCGGTGCAACGTGTCACATGACCAATAATAGAGACATATTAAGCAATTTTGTCTACGAAAAACCGATGCTGATTAGTGTAGCAAATGGTGATAAGCTTTATTTATACTCGTCGGGGTCGAGGTCGAGGTAATGTAAAACTTTTTTTACAAAATGAAGTAAAAACTGTTTGTAATGTAGAATACATACCAAAGTTGACATGTAATCTCATGTCAGTTAGTGTTTTGACACAAAAAGGTTTTGATGTAAAATTTTTATCTAACTTTTGTAAAATTTATGATGATAAAACGGTGGTTGCTGTTGCAAAAAAGAATGCTGGCAGATTATATAAATTAGAAACCGGTCATGCATCCATTAATTCTGTGAAACGCGAACATACCGCTATGCCAGTAAACACTTCTTCAAAAACCCATGTGGAAGTTCTGTCCCAGGGTTTGTGGCATCGTCTTTTTGGCACTGAAGAACCCAAGACTGTGAAAGATGCCTTTAATGAGCCTGAAGCAGAGCAGTGGCGAGCTGCTATGAAAGATGAGTACCAGTCATTTCTAGATAACCAGTGCTTTACATTAACCAATCTACCCAAAGGTGCAAAACCAGTAAAAACTAAATGGATCTTTAAGAAAAAGAGAGGATTAAATGGTGAGCTGTAACAATATAAAGCGCGTCTTGTAGCCAAAGGTTTTACACAAAAGTACGGAGTAGACTACTTTGAAACTTTTTCGCCTGTAGTGAGTTATGAAACTATAAGAATGTTGTTAGCCTTAGCTGCCGAGTACGATATGGAGATAGACCACATGGATGTTAAAACGGCTTTTCTAAATGGAGATTTAAATGAAACCGTATTCATGGATATACCGGAAGGCTTTGAAAAAGGCAAGGGAAAGAACAAAGTGTATCGACTACGTAAGGCTGTGTATGGTCTAAAACAAGCACCTAGAGCCTGGAATAAGAAAATAAATCAGGTACTCGTAAATAAATTAAATTTCATTAGATTATCTTCTGAGCCATGTGTTTACGTGTTGAGAAAAGGTGATAAACTAATAATCATCGTACTATATGTTGATGATTTGATTGTTTTAAGCAATTGTAAACAACAAAAGGCTGAAATTAAGCAACTTTTGATGAAGGAGTTTGTGATTGAAGATCTTGGTCCAGTAAACAAAGTTCTAGGATTAAGAATCAGAAAGCAAAATGGTAAGATTGTATTAGATCAAAGTTCTTATATACAAAAGATTTTAGAAAAATACAAAATGCAAGACTGCAAACCTATTGCGACTCCTATGCAGTGTCAAAAATTATTAAAGGCTGAAGAGAAGGATGACAGTTTGGAGTATCGTGAGTTAATTGGTTGTCTTATGTATATAGCTGTCTGTTCGCGCCCAGATATATGCCATGCTGTCAGTGTATTAAGACAATTCAACAACTGTCTTTCCGATGAACACTGGAGAGCTGCTAAACGCGTGTTGTGTTATCTAAAAGGTACAATAGATTACTGTATTACTAATGAGAAAAGTGGCTTATCTGTGACAGGTTTTGCGGATGCTGACTGGGCTTCTAACAAAATTGACAGACGTTCTTATACGGGTTATGTTTTCAAAATTGGTAATTCACTGACTTGTTGGGAAAGTAGGAAACAGCGAACAGTCGCGTTATCGAGTAACGAAGCGGAGTACATGTCGCTTTCGGATTCTTGTAAAGAGGCACTATTTATTAAAACTTTTTATAAAGAATGGATTAATACTAATGTAGAAATAAAGATTTGCAATGAGAATCAGTCTGCTCTTAAACTAACTGAAAATAGCATGTTTTACGGTAGATCCAAGCATATAGATATACGCCATCACTTCGTTCGGGAGGCGGTAGGCAATCGGTTAATTAATGTAAATTTCTTGCCAACGTCCGAAATGATAGCGGATATCTTAACAACACCCTTGTCTGCAGAAAAACACAACTATTTTGTAAAGGGATTAGGCTTACAACGTAATTTGTCAAATAGGTAGATAAGTTACGTTAGTTAAGTTTAAGGTGCGGTGTTAGAGGTGTAAACTCAACTTAACGTTGTCTCTGACACACGTTTCCTTAGTAACGTGAAAAACGAGAAGTCTTGGAATACAAGTTATACAAGCAAGTTTGTATTTTCATTTTCTTCCAATATTATGTACCAAGTGACAATAATGTAAATAAGAATGTTATAATACGCTTTATATTATATTCTTTTTCTTTTACGCTTAAACTAAGTAGCCCTAGTAAAGCTGTTCAAATCGCTCAAAAATATTAATATGCTTTGTTCGTTTCATGTATACGCGGCAATGATAAAACTTCTCCACAGTAACCGCAGTACTAAACTTCATCAACAAATACCAAAATTAATTTTGACCGCGCATCGCCAAGACTTAATAGAATTTTGCCCATTCTCCTTTTAATAAAAGTCTATTCTTTGGACCACTCAGAATATTATATTTTCATTAGTAACTAAACTTGTAACTTTTTTTAATACCACTCAACAGTCCATGGCTACTAGAGCTGCCGGTCGCAGAAAGACCTCAACAGTCCGTGGCAGCTCTAGTAGCCAATATCAAATTCCCGCGCCGCTCGCTGTTTTGTTTTTAATTTACGCCTAAAAAGACCTTTGCCTTGCTCATGGATGCTTTATTTGGACAGATTATTTAATCTGTGACCTCCTAGTAGTGAGAGACCCGCTTAATCTGATTTGGAAAAAAAATAAAAAAATATTAAACTGTCATCTTTTTTCCGTGGCGTTTAGCCGGAATTTATGTGAAATATTGGAGTTTTTAATCTTAAATAATACCTATTTATCTTTGCTATTTTATATATCCAGATAATTGTGATAATACAGGCTTTCATATTTTCAAAAGATTATCACGAGCAAAATGATCTGAAAATTATAAACTTAACCTGAAGATTTGTTGATAGAAAAAAATAAACATTCGGCGGATTTCAATGGCGTATAATTAATAGTTAAATAATAAATTGTTATTGATTATTGATAAATTACGTCGCGTTATTAATTAAATAACCCATTTCAATAGTTAAAATCAAGTAAACATGTAAGTTAGCACGAGATTCATGTATTTTGTGACGGGTATTGTTCATTGTTTACTGATTAATCACCGATGACGTAATAGCTACTATGTACTGTTAGTAAATAAGGGTCGGTACAGATACAATTTTATTTTTTATTTTTTTATCTGGAGTGTGTGCTTATAATTATGTGGTAGTTTGTTTGTTCGTTTGTAAATTTTTAGATTGGGAACGAAAATTATTACCAAAAGTGCTTTTTGGAAAATATATTGAATTTTTTTTTAATTGCTATGTGTGATGGTATGTATGTTTGTTCGGTTGGAATCCTGCAACTCAATTTTGAAGCAGTTGTCTTCATTCGATTGAGCTGAAATTTTGTACACACGTTTAGTTTGGATGATAATGCATGGTGAGCTATGTGACGTCATTCTACATCCAATATGGCGGAACATACAAGATGGCGGACTGGTTATTTTCGATGCACTCCTACAATATGGGTATCAAATGAAAGGGCTTGCTGAGAATAACTCGATAAATAAAGTGACGTCACTTTAAATCCAATGTGGCGGACAAAGTTTTATGTTTTGCTACAATATGGGTATCAAATGAAAGGGCTTGCTGAGAATAACTCGATAAATAAAGTGACGTCACTTTAAATCCAATATGGCAGACAAAGTTTTTTTATGTTTTGCTACAATATGGGTATCAAATGAAAGGGCTTGCTGAGAATAACTCGATAAATAAAGTGACGTCAACTTAATTCAATACCGCTTTTTTATACTGCTAAGTTTTTTATGCTTTCCTATAATATGGGTATCAAATAAAAAAAAATAGCTAGATATGTGGGGTTTTTGAAGTTCTTGATTATGTCCATCGATAACTAAAAATAAAAAAACTTAAAAACAAGCTTTTTTTACTCTTAACTATGTTTTGTGGTCTACTTGGACTCATTTGCTTATAAGACGTGGTTTGTTTGCTCATCATTTTTTCTGTGTGGGCGCGATTTTTTCTTGCATTTCTAATTTTAGTAAATATATAACTGTATTTCAGATTTTGCACCTAATGACAGTTGCGACAGGCCGGCCCAATAAGGAGAAAGCAACCAACATCCTGACCATCTGCATGAAGACAAAATATATTATATATTAACTAGTATATATATATGTCCCAGCGAACTTCGTACCGCCATAAAAATATAGGAGTTGTTGGTAAAAGGGTGAACATTTATGGTTATATGTATTTTTGTATGATGTATCATAAAAAAACAAAAACAAAATAATTAGTCCAAAAAAAAATTAAGGGTGGACCACCCTTAACATTTAGGGGGATGAAAAATAGATGTTGTCCGATTCTCAGATCTACTAAATATGCATATCAATTTCACGAAAATCGGTCGAGCCGTTTCGGAGTAGTTCAATTACGCACACCGTGACACGAGAATTCTATATATTAGATATATATATATATAAATAATATACATATATATAGTAGGTATATTTATTAAAAATAAAAAAAAATATAAAATATTAAATTAGTTTTATTTAGAAGTAACCAACTCGGCTGCTACGCATTAAAGTTCGTATTGAGCCTTAGGAACGGCGGCCATCTTGTGAATATTTCCGTCGCCCGAAATGGCCGAAGCCGTGGTGGGTGAGGAGTCGACAGGGTGTTAGATTTTGCTCTACTGAAAATGATACAGATTGAATAAAAAAAAGATTTTGGTACCATTAAAAAGGTAGTTAAATTTCCTATCCTTTGAGTACAACGAAATTTAACTTTTTCTAAATGAACATTATGAAAAAAGCGTTTAATTTTAAAAGTTTATTTTTAATTGACGTTTTTGTCAGTTTTACCCGCTATAGTTAATTGATTTTTGAGTTACAGAGACCCAAATATTCTGTAATGGATTCTTTATTTAATCAGCTTTACGGTAGTATTTTTTGTTTGGTCCTAGCTTCATTATTTAGCGAGAAAATGGCATTTCTAACTAAAAGGCCGGAATGGCCGACATTTTTCGCTACGCTTCGCGCCGCTTGGACTGTTGAGAGTGGCCGCTTTGGTTGCCGCGGACTTTCCAGAGAAAAGCAAAAGTTAATTACTTACCGTGTCAACGCCAGCAAAAAGTACATCACTAGCCATAATAACGGCTACGTCTTTATTTATTTCAAGCAATTTTTCTAATACGCTTTTCTCCTCTTCCGATTTTCTTGTTCCTTGTTTGTTAAGTTCTTCAATCGTTTTATCGATAAAAAATCTCGCTATGCTGAAAATTTTCGGAGTTTTTTTTATTATAATTACTTTGAAAATGTTTTAATAAGTTTTATTTCGTCAACATTAAAAAATAACTTACTTTTCCTGCTCCTCGTATAATTTCATTGCTTTTTTATAAGCTCTTGTTGGAAAGTATCTCCATAAACTTGGCTTAAAGTCTAATTTGTCTGCTGTTTCGAAAATATCGTGGACCAATTGGATGAGTCTTTTCTCAGGCGAGTTTGGTGGTAAATGTGAGTCAAAACATCTGAGGCGCCGACCCAAAGCGACTAAAGCTATTGACTCCAGTGACCATAGGTTCATTTCCATTTCGAAATCGCTTTGAATCATATTGTTCTCCCCACGTAGAGATTTCATTCTGAAATTGTGATGTTTCTTTTAAATATGCATAGCTCACTCAAATTACCACTTTCCGGGCTGACAGTTATTTCAGATTTTTTCAAGCGTTTAGAATAATGATAACTAGTGTTGATTAGTGTGGATATTCTGCAGTATTCTAATGTATCCACCAATTATAAATTATCAATATTGTACGTTAAAATACTAAGTTAAAACTACATACCTGCGGAATACAGTCCTTCTGGACTGGTGGCATATTATAAACTCTTAACACCAGGCAAATACTCTTTATAAGGCGAAACAACGCTTTTAAAAGTATAGTCAGGTCTGTGTTCCAAGCCTACGCTCCAGGTGCAATAAATGTGAAATTTTATATATGTTTCGTAAATTTTTAGTAAAGATTGAGAGAATTCATTGTGAAAGAACAATACATGCCATATATTCAAAGTAATGTCCATCACAAGCCACTTTTTTTCCCATTTCTCAGGCAGCATCCGGAATACCACATCTGTAGACCTCTTCTACATTTGAGAGCATCCACATCATATGATGTAAAGCGCTGTTCGGACAAACCATGTGCCATTTTTCTCAGATTAGGTTATAGTACATTACTGTATCGAGCAGCAAAAGAGGCATTAATGCATGAACGAGTCGAGGCACACGTATAAGTCCATCAATGCCTAGTAGTGTGTGACCAAGGCTTGTATTGAACATTTCTCAAAAACAAGCGCGGAAATGAAAACTTTCAAAATTCGAATACTTTTTAAAATCGATGACTAACAACATTTTTTTTCCGTGTAACTGTTCATTTGATTTTTTATCAATAAACAGCCTACTATGTGCAAGCAAGTCGAAATTTAAGTAATTAATATTAATTAATTTAACAAACTTTATCAAAGGTTGTTTCGGAGTAATTTTAGTTATTTACAATTTTTAGAAGAAAAATGTTTTTTGTTAAGGTGTTAAAGTGCTACTATTAAATCGAAAGATCACCGACTTCAAATCTAGTGCGAGGGCTTGTATACATTTTCTTTTTTTCTTTCTTTTTCTTTTATTTTTTTAAATAGAATGTCGATATAGAGCAAACGACTTGCCCTAAACTCAAAATTAAAATAATAAAAAAATAAAAAAATAAATAATAATAATTACAATCTATACATATTGTGGTTAATATTTTTAATCTATACTTATAATAAATCTGTAGAGAGGTCAATTCTGTACATGAAATATATTTTCAAAATAACTATCAGGGGGTGATTAGTGATCGATACTGATGCCAAAAATGCAATCAGTAAAATTTTTGTCTGTCTGTCTGTGTGTATGTTCCTTATAGAAACAAAAACTACTCGACGGATTTTAACGAAACTTGGTACAATTATCCTTCATACTCCTGGGCAGGTTATAGTATACTTTTCATCACGCTACAGTCAATAGGAGCAGAGTAGTGAAGGGAAATGTTGCGAAAACGGGAGAAGTTACTCCATTTTTTTAGCTTCCGTTGCGTGTACAGCCTTAATGGTTAAAGTTACATAGAAATCATGTATCACGGAAATATTCTACATAAAATTTTCTAAAAAATAACACGTGTAACTCCTGATAGCTTAGCAGTTCGGAGCATTCTGATTATATTTGTTTACTCTTACGTTTATAATACTCTCACTCATCCCTAATTTAAAAAAGTTAACATTATTACCTATTCAATAAAAAAAGAATCATAGAAATCGGTATAGAAACACCAAACTTATACATGAAATAAGTCATCGCGCCGTCGCGTCGCACGTAAATACTGAATCATGCTATAAGGATTATTTTTGTGTAACGGTTGCCGCGCTCGACATGGGTCGCAGCGGCGGCAGGTATAAGAAGAATGCCATTGTGTATAATACAGGCCTGAGAACAATAACTATAGCCTTCAGCTCTACACCGAAGCGAAGCGAGGGCGGGCCACTAGTACTGAATAAATATGGAGAACAGTACAACGCGCAGGTAGATGAAAAAAAGTACATCAGATTCGAACCTAGCTACTGCTGAAATGAGTCAAGGTGGTGACTTGCAACTACTAAACTTAACATTGGACTCAACAATGCTAAGTCTTCACAGTGCCACGCAGTTTGAAGAGTTACCTTATGTGAGGCAATTAAAACAATAATTGCAAGAATTAAATGAAAAATTAGAAATAGATGGTTCAGAAATAGATAATCTAAACTATGAGAACAATATTTTAAAGGAAACCATAAACAACCAGGAAAAAAAAATATTTTTCCTGAAGTCTGTTTCTAGTAAACCTACACATCATTACAAGCGCAATTCGACACCTGTTCAACAAAAAATCACAAATATCCGCTTACAGTTATCTAGGTTCTCACCTTTACACCGAGCTAAAACTATATGCTCTCCATATAAAAATCTACCATCAAAAATTATACATAATAGCAGTCTCCCAGAAATTCACACATACAAAAATGGCTACGTTGAAAATCTATTACTAACAAATAATCACAAAATGGCAAGCAACATCGACTGTAAGAATGAATCAAACATGAAAGAAAATAAATCTGTAAATGTTATCGTAAAATACCTAGAAAAGACAAACGATAAAGTTTATAAGCGGTCAACAAAGAAAAAAGTGATAATTTTAGCTGATCAAAGGGGACGTGGCTTAAGAAATGAAGTACAACGACTTCTGGGGGACAAATTTGAAGTAGAATGTTTCCTGAAACCACGAGCTGCATTAGGGAATATACTGGACTCTATACGATCTTCTATAGGCAATTTGACTATGCATGACTTTGTGATAGTATTATGTGGTATTAATGACAAGAATCCTGATATATTTCAAATAAACTTGCATTTGTGGTTCTGTTCGGTAACGAATACAAATATTGTTATGTGTGGTATTCCAAACAATACTTACTTGGACGAAATGAAATTAAACTACGTGCTTAAATTCATATGTACAAAATACGAAAATGTTACTTTTTTGGATGTATCTCATAATGTTTTCAGTGTTAATATAAAATCAAAAATAATACTAGCACGACTGATTCTAAAAGAAATACTACATTTAGAGTATAAGTAGGAATTTGTAAATTATCAGAAATATAAAGACATAAAGTTATATTCAGATAAGTGTACACAGACATATGATAATGTATTAAGTCATAAAAATAGCAAACAGAATCTTAGTTGTAATGATGACCTACGTAATTTATACTTATAATAAATCTGTAGAGAGCTCAATTCTGTACATGAACTATATTTTCAAAATAACTATCAGGGGGTGATTAGTGATCGATACTGATGCCAAAAATGCAATCAGTAAAATTTTTGTCTGTCTGTCTGTCTGTCTGTCTGTCTGTCTGTGTGTATGTTCCTTATAGAAACAAAAACTACTTGACGGATTTTAACGAAACTTGGTACAATTATTCTTCATACTCCTGGGCAGGTTATAGTATACTTTTCATCACGCTACAATCAATAGGAGCAGAGTAGTGAATGGAAATGTTGGGAAAACGGGAGAAGTTACTCCATTTTTTAAGCTTCCGTCGCGTGTGCAGCCTTAATGGTTAAAGTTACATAGAAATCATGTATGACGGAAATATTCTACATAAAATTGTCTAAAAAATATCCCGCAACAGCATATGTCTATCTTTTATGGTTGACTCACAATAACACGTGTAATTATATAAATAAAGTCATTGTTTATAGCACAAGCCTGAGAACAAAAACTATAGTTTACACTACAGCTCTACACCGAAGCGAAGCGAGGGGAGGCCACTAGTAATTAATAAAAACAATTCTATTATTGACGATTCTGTGTGTAATTTAAATAACAATAGCTTTTTTCGTGCAGAACAAGATTTACGTGTTACACCGGAATATTAATGGTTTAATTAACAAAATCAGATAATTTGGCAGTATGTTTAGAAGAATTATCTAACGATGGTAAAACACCTGATGTATTATGTATTGCAGAACAATACAATACAAGAACACAATATGATTAAAAGTGATGTACCCAACTTATGTTTTCCCAATTTTTGATTGGCATCGTTTTTCAGTAGATGTAATAGACACGGAGGTACTTGCATACTAAATCTAAAGAAATAAATCTAAATCTGATAGAATGTTCAGTAGTAGAATTGATAAAACACAACATATGTATTATATGTGTTTATAGACCACCAAAAACAATCTCTGTCTATTTAAATATTTTTTTTGTCTAAATTAGAGTTAATTATGCATAATAAGTGCTTAAGAAACAAAAAGATAATGTTATGTGGAGATTTCAATATAGATATTTTAAAGCCAACCAAGTACTCTAACGAATTCCGTAATATATTTCTTAGCTTTAATCTTAAAATGGTATTTAATAAACCAACCCGTTATGCTAGTAAAAGTTGCATTGATAACATTGCTCATAATATAAAATGATGCAAATCAGAAATATTAGAGTTAGCCCTATCTAATCATAACGCACAGCTTTTAATGTGTCCAGTGGCAAAAAGCTGTTCCTTAAAGTTTTGGTTTGTGCTTCGTAGAGATTATTGTATCGATAATAGAGAAACAGACAAGGCGCTGATCATCGGCACCGACTCCAACGCCCACCATCAATTGTGGGGTATGACGAAAAGCAACAAACGAGGTGAGGAATTAGTAGATTACCTATTTACAACTAACCTTAATATAATAAACACAGGATCTGAACCTACTTTCGTAACAAGAAGGGGCAGATCCATCATCGACCTTACACTAGCATCAAGAAGAGCAGCGGATCTGATCTCTGACTGGCACGTTTCCCCAGAGGCATCCTGCTCTGACCATAGGTGGATTAGGTTCAACATCGCGGTACAGCGTGTTACCCAGCCACCTAGACGCATACCTAGTAAAACAAACAGAAGCCAGTATCGCAGACAGGTAACTCGGTCACTGCGACATCTGCAGTCTGGTAGTTTAGACGAAATTTATAAGATAGACGAAACAGCTGAGGAATTAACAAGTTATAATCTCAAGTTATCAGACAGCCTGTCCTGTTAGTACACCATCATCCAACTCGGGTGCCAGCCAGTCTTGGTGGGGTCCCGAGCTGGAAAAACTGAGGAAAAAGGTAAGAAGACTTTTTAACAGGGCCATGAATACATGTGGCGACCAGGACTGGGATGTGTACAAAGATGCCAAGGCACTTTACAAGAGGCGCATCCGACATTGGAGCAATGGGTCTTGGAGAAAATTTTGTTCAGATATAGACTCATGCACAAAGGCAAATAAGGTAAGGAAACTGCTATCTAAAGATAGGCAGCAAGACCTAGCACAGCTTCGGAAGGCTGATGGCTCCCTCACAGAAACAACTGAGGAGGCACAGAGGGTACTACTTGAAACCCACTTTCCGGGCTGCATCATACACAAGACACATACTTGGAATGACACTAGCTGGACCCCCACGGAACAATCCTGGAACACTGCATTGAAGACAGTGTCTACAGATAAGTTAAGGTGGGCCATTAACAGCTTCCAGCCATTCAAGGCAGCCGGACCAGATGGCATCTTTCCGGCTCTGCTTTAATGGGCAGGTGAAGCACTAATCCTTATCCTGGTGCCCCTCCTGAGAGCGTGTCTTGCATTTAGATACACCCCGAAGCTCTGGAGGGAGATCAAGGTAATCTTCATACCAAAACCGGGTAAGGCAGACTACAACGGGGCGAAATCTTTCAGACCAATAAGTCTCTCATCATTTCTGCTAAAGACCCTGGAAAGACTGTGCGACAGAGAGCTGAGAGACAACCAACTAGTCAATGTTCCACTACATCCGAACCAACACGCCTATAGTCCAGGCAAGTCGACAGAATCTGCACTACATGCAGTCGTAAGTAAAATAGAGGATAGTCTCAGACGGAAAGAACTATGTCTGGGCACCTTTATAGACATAGAAGGCGCGTTTGACAAAACAAGCTTCGCCAGCATAGTAGACGCACTTGGCAAACACGGAGTCGATGAGACCATTATATACTGGGTAAGTAACATGCTCCGTAACAGACTAATCAGACTACAAGACGACAACCATCTCAGAGCATTGGCAACTAAAGGATGCCCTCAAGGAGGAGTACTGTCGCCTCTGCTATGGAATGTAGTTGTAAGTTACTTAATTACCAAACTAAACAACCTTCACTTCCTCACGGTGGGCTACGCGGACGACCTTGCAATCATAATTCCGGGTAAGTTTGCGAGCACCGCCTGTGATGTTATGCGAGGGGCAATGAAGGTGGTTGAAAAATGGTGTGACGACTACGGCCTTAAGGTGAACCCAGTGAAGACGGAATTGGTCATGTTCACGAATAAAAGATCATTAGACTCCAAACTGAACTGGGAATCCCACATAGACAATACTACAACGAAGACCAACATCATTTTCTGGCAATGTCGCAAAATGATTAGCAAAACTTGGGGACTATCACCGCTCATTGTTAAGTGGCTGTACACGACCATAATTAGGCCCATCATCAGTTATGCAGCAGCAGTATGGTGGACCAAGACAATCCAGGTAACGACAATTAATAAGTTAAGACGTCTCCAGAGGCGGGCATGCTGTGCAATCACCGGCTGCATGAAAACCACTCCCACATCAGCACTGGAGACAATACTTAACGTGAGACCACTCCACTTGTTTATACAACAGGAAGCTGCATGTACAGCCACGTGCCTAAGCATGCTGGGGCATTGGAGAGACAACAACTCCCCGCATAAAAGCATCTTAGCAGACATACACACACAGGCACTTTCCGTACTTTGCAGCAGTAAACGACCTTATTCCTAAGACGTACGTATTTGACAAAAAATACAAAATTCAACTTTATGAAGACACCCCGGACCGTTGTCTGCATAAGGAGTTGAGGGTCTACACAGACGGTTCAAAAACCAACTGTGGTACGGGCTCGGGTGTCTTCTCCGAAGACCTGAATATACACATCTCGACAGCTTTGGGTGCTTATAACACGGTCTTCCAGGCAGAGTGTGTGGGCATCATCAGAGCTGCTGAGGCGATAGAATGTCGCGGGGTAAGAGGAAAACATATTCGTATTCTCTCTGACAGCGCTTCTGTCCTACAGGCACTAGACAACAATATAATGACATCAGGCTTAATTTACGAATGCCACAGTAAGTTGACTAATATTGCTAACGACAATAGATTGACCCTACAGTGGATTAAAGGACACAGCGGCTCAAGGGGTAACGATGCGGCGGACTGCTTAGCCAGGGAGGGGTCTAGCAGGACGGCCATTGGTCCGGAGCCAATTATACCCATACCCTATCGGCAGCTGCGAACCTGGATAAGGGAGCGCTCTCAACGACAACATGACGATTACTGGTCAAAACTCACGGACTGCAGGCAAGCCAGGGAAGCCGTTCCTAAGGTAAACCTGCAGCTAACACGTAAGTTAATCAGACTACCTAGACAAGCCCTGAAACAAATCGTGGGTATACTCACGGGTCACGGCTACTTCAACAAACACCTTTGTAATATAGGTATTTCTGATAGCCCTCTGTGCAGAGCCTGCCTGGAGGCGGATGAGACGAGCGCCCATGTCCTACTGAAGTGCAGGGGCGTTGCAAGATAAAGGACTTCTCTAATGGGAAGCCCGAAGACAATAGTAGAGGCCTGCAGCAACATTCGGGGACTGCTGAGCTTTCTGGAGGAGCTGGGATGGCAGGACTGATGCCCATCCCCACGCAAAATAGGCACTAGGTGTCGAGTTCAATACTCAATACTCAATACTCAATGTTTTATTGCTTTCCATAAGTTTTACAAGATGTTACAAAATAATATGCACAATCATGGACCCCGTCGGGCACAGCAATCAATTAATTACAGAGAGAGAGTGACACCTTTGATTACATAAAAACGCTAATAAGTACCCTAGCTGACTATTACAATTTAGAATTTATATAATATCTATCTATAATAAATTAAAATAGGTATTAAATTTTATTTCATTCTATAAAATCACGAATAATAATAATAATAATAATGTGTATACTAATTCATTAATTGTAAAAAAGATAATACGAACAAATTATATAAAATATACGCAAATAAAATTTATTTAAAGTTATATAAAAACAAAACACAAAA